GCATCTGCAATACGGGCTGCCCCATACTCGTACGTATTGACATGCAATGCCGTCTGGTAGTCTCGACACCTGCCAAGATACCAGTGGCCGAACAAGGCTATGCAATTTTTGATGCATGCGCCCTAGCCTTAATTAAGTACTTGTGCACAGCGACTACCCACCTGTGCCTCCAAATACCAGCAGACATGGACTACTCGACCACACACCATCACTGCACTTCAACATGCACAGCAGACCGCACCCGCCCATCCATCGCAAATGGTGTCGTGTTGCACAAACCAGCAGCTGCAAAACCGAACCATGCCATGTGTATGGTCAATGCAACTGGTCTCTGCTCCCTGGCCTGGCGGACAAACTGGCCTAGCCCCGAATTGGGCACTCTCCCTCTCCCTTGCGTCTGGCCCTGCCGCCGAGCACAGACGATCGTACATACACTACCGAGTGACAAGTAGTACTACTAATGGAATTTGGGGTCAAGTTCCGACGGAGCCGACTTGAGCACTTGGCCATGGCGTGGTGGTCGAGGGCTCAGAATATCATCGGAACTCGATGGCTCATCTTCTCGAGTATGTACATACTTCTCTTGTCCCCCACCCCCCCAAAGTTCTTCTCTGTGCCTTGTGCTGATTTGGGAAGTCGTCAGGAGAAATGCGACTTCGGTGCCAGAGCGTCAAGGGATTAACACGGAGAAATCGTACGCTTCAGATTTACCTAGCCGATGTGGGTGGGATTTGCAACGGCACCTAGTCTTCCGCAAAAGTGATCCAGAGCAAGCGCAGCGGTCTGTGGACAAGGAAGATCGGGCTGGGCTGCAAGTACGTATTCCTACGTATGTACATACAGCGGACTGCTTGGCTCCTTGGCAAAGCAAACTGCACCCAAGGCAATCGTCTCCCGTCGAGTGTTTGTTTCCCACCATGCTACGTATTTATGTAGTCTGTTATATGCCGGTGTCCGAGAGGCCCGCATCGTCATGGGCCTAACCACTTAGAACATGACATCTCCCTACCGAGTGCCTACCCGGGGGTGTCTAAGCCCTTAGCCAGCGTGTAAAGCTGTCTGCTGTATTACCGAGTAGACGCATATGACTAGTGGCACCGTCTCATATCCACCTGCTGTAGCCCGAGCGGGAGAGCTCCCTTGTGCGGCGTATTGTATTGATTGAGAACCTAGCAGGTATAAGTGCGGAGTGCTCAGTGTTCAAGGTAGTAGATGACCGTTTTCTAGGAACGGGCCAGGGTGACGGTCCGATTCGTACCAGTTGGCCATTGTTTGGCAATTCCAGCAAACGTGATCCTTGTCCGCAACAGAGAAGCACGGGGTTGCTCCAATCGGCATGACTCAGCACCAGCGATTAATTCTGTCCAAATGGTCCCCTGGGGAAGCCGAGGAAGCCATCTGCCTACCTAGGTACAGGTACGTATGCCATGATGAAAAAGGGAAGGCAAAATAATATACATTTACCACATTACAATTATCCAGACTGTTCGAGATTTGAACACTTACAACAGGGCACCTACCTACCGCCCAACAGGATTTGGATTCAATCCGATACAGCGGGGATCTTGGGCAAACTTGTATCTAAAACACTGGCCCCCCAAACATCAAACATGCAAATATCAATTGCAGAATTCCTTATATGTCTCCATTGAAATTCCCAGAGTGCGTGATGGCCTTTAGACAATGGGGCAGAATCCCAATACCAGGACGGACTGTTGGCCGCGAGACGCAAGGCCTAGAACGCAGCAAGGCCCCATCAATTCTGCCCCGCTCCTTCCGCCTCCAGCAGGTACCTACTACGTTAGGCAGTTATCCCGACACAAGCGGCAAGCATGCTCCTCCATCATTTCAAAATCCCCTTTGCTCTCATCGCCGGCGAATACCGTAGCTTTTTATGCTCAAAATCTACTTTGCCTCCCAGGTAGAGGCGGCTTACCGCTGCAAATGCAAAGCATTTTGCCGATATGTACAGGTGACGCACGAACAGGCTTTAACGCAACGTTGGCACGTGTCCATGCATCAACGACCGTATGCTAGTCCGGCACCCAAGGCACCTTGCTGTGATGAAAACTTGACAGCGTCATGACAGAGAGACTACACATGCAATCCGGGAGAATCAAACTCCAGGCAGTCTTCTGCAGATGCACCAAATAAGTAGTAGGGCAGAGATGTAAGACCCATGCCACCACGTTTTCCCCAAATTGCTACCATCCAACCTCGCCGCGAGACTAACACTGGATCCAGATACTATTATAAATGTCTTGCACTGCCTATCTAAGTCAAGTGTTAGATGCTCTCTCTGTCCTACCCAAACTACCGCACCTCCCATGTCACAACAGCTCGTCCTGCTCAGCCGCGAACCCCTGCTACAGGAACACATACGAAATGCAAACACAGCATATCTCCACTATAGGAATCACTGGTCCAACGTGATACTGGCTTTTGCAGCCTGTACTCGGCCAGCAAACCCAGGCACTCATGCAGCAAAAGATGTTAGTCTATCCTCCAATGTGGGCTACTGGGGCGTTGGCATGCCTTGGTGAGCTCAAAAGAACACTAGCCAACATGCGCGCGATGGCGAGAGCGTGACATGAATAATAGCTCTCTCTGTGCAGGGTTCTTCTGTACTCAGGAACTAGGACTCTAGGCCTGTAAGCACGTATGTATGACAGCTGACTTCAGACCTGGTAACAGGAACATCCCACAAAGCGCACAGCTACCTTTTAGTAGAGACATTAATATATTTTGATTCAGCCAACTGAGCATTATGGACTGTGCGAGGGTTACATCATGACAGCAGCCTGTGATCTGAACACAATATGCACGACAATATTCAGGATAAATCTTTCAAGGTGCTCAAAGAAAGGCACCCGTGGACCCTCTAGATTATAGTAACCACTATCCAATATGCAATATCAAAACCCTTACGATATAGAACGTGACCTGTCACTGGGTCTTTTTCCTCTGCATCTAGCTCCTATCGCGATAGAGCAGGAGGATATGCTGTTCATACATATACTGAGGGCAATTCGACCCGGTGAGACAAGTTGGCAGGTTTTCGGCGACTTGATGTGGCTGTGTTCACAGTGACTACCTCTAAGAACACCTATTCAAAACAGCTCTATCTCACTGAGATTGCAAAATTTGACATCGTGTCCAGCTTCATCGGAATTCACGTCAAGTCAGGTGGTAGCAGTAACAGTACGTCAGGACTCAGGACTTGAGCTCCTGTTTTGTCAACATCAGACTGCTTGTTAGAACGTCAATGTCTTCCCTCTCTGTCCTTATTCTCTCCTGTACGCCTCGAACTATGATGCCGTGTTTCTGGAGGTCTAAAATTATCCCAGACCGTGAAGCAAATGCTCTCGAATTCCGGTGAATTGGCATCACTACCACCCACCAGATGCAAAACTTTTTTTGCAAATGACCTTCCCCGCAAGATGGTACAACCCTACAAGAGCACATGTCCTGAAATTGGTTGGCCATGCTATAAATTAGCTATCAGGGCATCTCAACAGTCTCGAGCAGTGACAATGGGCACAACCTACCAGAGACTGCTTCCTCCCCATGTAACGCAACATTCGATGGAAATTTCTCACGCATCCTGAGGCCAGTTTCTGTGACCACAACACAATAAAGTATGGAGAAATTGCCGACAACTAGGTGCCAAGGGAGGTGAAGCACGAAAGGGTTCCTATACTGTTTTGCCCTTACTCCAACCACTGCCACTCAACCGCACCATACACGCCCAGCTCACAGCTGAAATCCAAACAGGCGTGGCACATTGGTCTCAAACTCAGTCAACTTTGTTCTGCGTCCAAGTGCTCTCTTGGCGGCACAAACCCTTGGGCTCTGTCGCACTGCATGCATGCTGGCTGCGCAATTGGCATGGTACAAGATCTACCCCTTCGGTTTTTGCTCTCATGGTTTAGCGGTAACTCTAACTCGTGTTTCCACCCAGATGGCCGGATACTGTTGCCGTGGCCAGAAGCCGTCCCCAAAAGTCTCGTGTTACAAACATGCCTAGGAGTCGCGAAGCAAGTTGGGGTCCTTGGCACCGAGCGTACTACCATCCATCAGCTAATTCAGTGTCGTCACTCACGCCAGGCCGCCTTTGAGTTCACTCCTACGCGATCTGGCCTGCGAGTAGCCTTGATTCCGGGCCGCTACACAGCGAGACCACTGTTTCCGGACTGCCGGGTCTGAGGGGTTTTGCCAGGTCCCAGTTCCCTCGCTTTCGTATCATGTCGGCCTTCGTACAGTTCCTTCTGCTGGCGTATGTATGCATCCGGCCCCGAACCCGTGGCCACGGTTCAGGTGCTTCCCGGGAAGCGTCTCAGTTGGCGAGATGAAAATTAAGGCTGTGGCGGGCGGCAGATGTAGCTGAAAGACCCTGTCGTTGACCCAAGACTCGTCTCCCACCATGACCAAGTACTACCTAGGTAGTTTGGCAACACACTCGATTGTGAAACCTGTGGTTCCCATAGCATGGTTCACAATAACGTCTACCAAGTCGGCCGGGGCCAGAGCCAGGACGTGTAACGCTTACACTGAGATGCAGCACGCCGAGGAGACCCGTACACTCTGCAGAACGATCTGCTGCCAGTAGGTTGCGGAAAATTTCCATTCCCTGTGATATGAAGTGCCCCGGCCATGTTCTCATTGTAGCATTGGGTTTGTCATCCCGTCCATTGATGGATGGCGCTGGATTAGGAATGCATGCCTCAACAACAAAGGCGGGAGACGCGACTCTTTTTATTGCTACCCTGCAACAGTTTTGTTCCTACGGGTAGAAAGTTAGATAACGGGTGCACGGGCCACATCCTGCCGATAAGATCAACGGCCCATAAAAAAAAAGATGGCAACTCCACACATGTCTGAAAGGTGGTTGTAAATATGCCCGTCGTTTGAATAGTTTATGTGAAATTTTACCAAACACACTTTTCCATCTCAATTGCCTTTCCGCATTTTCTCAAGCCATAGGTGCCAGGCAGCAAATCATGTTCGCTGTGCCAGGCTGGTCCGTTTCCGCGGACGCACTCAAGCCCGAGACAGCATCCGCCTCCGGGCCATCAGGCGTGAAATCCAAAAAGCGCAAAAGGAACAACGTCGAATCGCAAAGCATCACGTCTACCAATGTAGCTGATTTATACGAAGCAGTTGTTGAGGGCAAAGGGAAGCTTCCCTCGAGCAACCAAGGAAGCAAGGACGACAACAATTCGGCAAAGCGGGCAAAGAAGCAGAGCATGACGACCAAAGCAGCCGCCCAAGATGACCAACCCAAGAGCAGCAAAAAGGACAAGAAGACCAAGAACAAAAACAGGGACCAACACACAACAACCGCCAACGATGCTCGGCTCCCCGAACCCTTGGACAAAACCTCGTCGACGAAACCCTCCAAACCAAACACCACCAGCACACCGTCCGCCGCCGCGCCCTCAAAACTAACCCCCCTCCAAGCCTCCATGCGGGAAAAGCTGATATCCGCACGCTTCCGCCACCTCAACGAGACGCTGTACACGCGGCCGTCGGAAGAATCATTCACCCTCTTCCAGGACTCGCCCGAGATGTTCACCGAGTACCACGAGGGCTTCCGTCGACAGGTCAAAGTGTGGCCCGAGAACCCCGTCGACAGCTTCCTGTCCGACATTCGCAGCAGGGCGAGGGCCAAACCCCCGACCAAGGGGAGGCCGGGACCCCCGCCCTCCCAGCGGAACAAGATGGCTCTCCCTCGGACCACGGGCACATGCACCATTGCGGATCTGGGCTGCGGCGACGCCCGGCTCGCCGAGTCGCTGCAGGGCGACAGGTCGAAGCTGCGGCTGGACATCAAGAGCTTCGATTTGCAGTCGCCCAGTGCGCTGGTCACCCGGGCCGACATTGCCAACCTGCCGCTGGAGGACGGGTCGGTCAACGTGGCCATCTTCTGCCTGGCGCTGATGGGCACCAACTGGATCGACTTTGTCGAGGAGGCGTACCGCATCCTCCACTGGAAGGGGGAGCTGTGGGTTGCCGAAATCAAGTCCCGCTTCGGGCCTGCCCGCAAGAGTGCCGTGGTCGAGCACTCTGTTGGGAACCGCAAGAAGAACAGCGCGGCGCTTGGTAAAAAGGCCAAGGCGGCGAGGGACGCCGAGGCGGACGCTCTCCACGGAGAGGATCTGGCTGTCGAGGTGGACGGGCTCGAGGATAGACGCCGCGAGACCGACGTTACTGCGTTTATCGAGGCGCTCAAGAAGAGAGGGTTCGTGCTACAGGGCGAAAGGGCAGAGGCAGTCGACCTGAGCAACAGGATGTTTGTCAAGATGCATTTCATAAAGGGCGCCTCGCCGACAAAGGGCAAAGGGGTCAAGGCCGAGGATGCGTCCAAAATGGGGGCCGCGCATAAGAAGAGGAAGGGCTTTGCGCCAAAGTGGGATGATGACGAGCATGCAGAAAACGCCGAGGACGAAGCGTCAATTTTGAAGCCTTGCGTGTATAAGATTCGGTAGCAGAGCAGCGATTGCGGACTTTGGCCACATCATGTCACATAATTTGAAGCAAGTTTTGTCTGCCTGTTTCGTGGCTTTGTGATAACTTTCAAATACTGCTAAATAACGTCATTCATCATGTGTTCCTGCTGTCTATTCTCCTTGATTCGCACAATTAAGTCGCCTTCAGGGCCCCGTCTCCAAGGATGTTTATTAAATGCGCCTCTGCAAAATCAAGAGCCGGATCATGAGCAAGTTCTACATCGAAATCATTATTCATGGGATTCGTGTTCCAAGCTTTCGTTATACGGCCAAGAGGACAACCCCTGCTCTAACTCGTCTAAAAGAAAATCAGACCTGCTGCTACATCGACGTTATCTTCTGCTGCCTGCAGTGCTTGGATCGCCTGCTCTCGTGTGGCCCCCATGGCTATTAAGCTTTCCACATGTGCCGCAGTAACGTTTGGCGTTGAAGCAGATGCCGCCGCGGAAGGCGCTGAGGCGGGTGGGTTACTCCTCGGGGGCTGCGTTGACTGCGCCGAAGCTGACGAAGCTTGGGTTGATGGTTGCTGCGGCGGCAGAACCGCACCGGTCTCCTGACCAATTGTGGTTCCGGCAGGGCCCGGAATAGTGGCTTCTTGCTCGACTGGCTCCTCATCCTTGGGAATGTCGGCCTCGCCTAAGAACGGTACTTCCTCTCCTTGGATAATAAGTCTATCCTTAACAAGGTCAATCGTAGCTTGATATCTCTTCAACATGTCCAGGCCAAGGAGCAAATGCGTTGTCTTTCCCTCCATGACAGTGAAGCTGCACGGAAGAAACAGGTTGCCAACTCTGATCTGGGCCGAGTGGACTCGCCCAAGAATCTTGGCGGTGCCGACGCCGCGGGCTACACCAGCGAATCTCGTGTCAATAAGTCGCATGATGCCGCATGCTTCGGCGTATGCCGGAGACATGATAGTAGCTTGTGCACCGGAGTCCACCAGAGCCTTCACCTTGGTGCCATTCACTTCGACATTAATGTATAGTAAGTGTACACGACCAAAAACTAGAAACTCGGTTAGCATCCGCTATGACAGACAGTTCAGGTGAAGTAGTTGACTGAACGACGCTGGGCATACCTTCAGGGTTGTGTTCCATGGCACTCTGTAAATTCTCCATCACTCGTTCTTGGCGGATCATGTCCTCGATTTTTCTCTGATTTTCGATATTAAAGGGGTCCTGGTTCAATCTCTCAATCTCTCGCTGTCTCTCCTCTCGCTCTCGACGCTCCCTATCTTGGCTGTTCTGAAGGATTTGCGAGAAGCGTACGGGGTCATCTACAGCGGCAGCAAGCTCTGGATTGTGCCTTTGCAGATGCTCCCTTGCGGCGGGATTGCCCAGGATTTGCAGGCGAATCAACTCGGGATCATTGTCACCGCTGCCCTGGGGCCGTGGGGGCTGGGCAGGTGGTTGTGTTTGAGCAGCGCGCTCACTGGCACCCGTGTTGCCTCTGAGGTGTCTGACGTGGACAGCTAGCATACCACCATTGGGGATTTCCAGCTGCTCTATAGTTTTGGTGTCGTCTGTGAGTAGGCGGCCATTGTGGTAAATGTGGAGCGAAGAGGCGGGAATGTTCGTATCGGCATGAACGGATTCGCGGAGGGTCTCAAGGGTCATGTCGGGAAAGATTTCCAGGTTCAACAAAGTATCCTGATCCCCAGCTTGGGGATTGAAGATGTTGAGTGTAATCTGCCTACATTGGTGAGGGCTTCTGGTCAGCTTTGTCTTGCCGGTCCATGATTGAAGGTTCCCCCGACCCAGGCCGGTTGCCCACGATGAAAATGGTAGCTTACATAGCAGCCGTGTGTGCGCGAATCTAGATATTTCCGATTCAAAGTAAAGGTGATGTAAAGAAGAGCAACGCAATGCTCTAGCTGGGACTGCAGCGACTGGTGATGTGTGTGGAAAGGATTCTGAGTTTGAGATACGCAGTTGTAGACTGGCGAGTCGTTCAGTCAATAGCCACTTGGATGGAAGGCTGCAGACAAAGACGGAATGAAGCGGGGCAGTGGAGTTGGAGGAGTTGGAGGACTTGGAGAGGCAGCGACATGGAGCATTTGTGGAAGGAGCTCACTACCTGCCTTCCCTCCTACCTGCCTAGCAGGGCACAAACTACGGAGTACAGTGCTACATCATTGCGTCTTGGTGGTCGTGTGCAGTCAGTCAGTTTTGACGACAACAGACATGGATGCTCTAACACGCATGTCAGCGCGACGAGAAAATCCAACTTGGCCTTGTTCCCCAAATTGGAATGCTAACTGTGTCTTTTCTGCGTACATGCTTTGCCACCCGAAGTTGCCATTGACCGACTACCTAGACATGACGCTACAGTCCTTGACGAATAGCGGACACCCGATGCAATGCGACGCGCGATGCAATATGATGCATGCGACCTAAACAACCCAAATTGCCTGCAGATGACAAGTTGGGATCTATCATGTTCCCTCTTCCGTATAAATGTTTTTTCTGTTTCATATGCCCGTCCACCTTGCTTTTTTTTTTTTTTTCCTTTTTGGATTTCCTTATTCACACATGGAGGAATGTAGTTGGTTGAAAGTTGCGGAATAATAGGGAGAGTGACGTGTATTGTGTATGAGCACCGTACTAAACCTCTCTGTACTTGATAAGTGACGGCGGAAGGTGAGTTAAGATAAGCTGCATAAGTGCGCACGCCGACTTTAAACTTTGACTGAGATGTCGGGGGTTTGGCTCGATGGCCCCGAATGCGGTTGTCGTCCAGGCGCCAGCGGCATACGCAAGACTTTATTCATGTTCGACTTCGTCGCCTACCACCAGGCACCTACCTACCTACCTAGGTAGGTACCTAGGTAAGTAAGTAAGTACCTAGGTACTTAGGTAAGTATAAGGTAACCGGGTAAGTAGAGGTACTACTCCGTACTAAAGGTCAGAAAGACGTGCCGACTTTGAACAGCAAACTGGAATGGTTGCCATTTCCTAGTTTGTTCACTTGCATCATTCAACGAAGGTCAAGCCGCAGCAAAAAGTGGGCTGGGGATCGGGTATGGCTTTCCTGGTCCCTGGCTTCAATGGAGGTTGAGACAACTGCCACCATTGCATGGAGCTGGAATATACATTATTGGTCCATTGAAGGGAAACAAATCGCCCAGCCACACATGGACTGGTAGACTGGTGGCAGGACGGCTCATCAGCATCTCTGCGACAAGAGCGACGAGACTTGAATTAGCTTTCGCATTGCTGATTAGACATCATCCATCATGGCTATTCGAATTTCGGACCCAACAATTGACATGTAGCTCCGTTTCTATACTCAGTCCCCGTCCCTTCCTGATCTGGCATTCTAGCCAGCTTTACCCATTCTCACGTGGCGCAACGAGGTTGCATTGGGCCTTGTGGCTATTTCATTCGCTCTTGAAGTGAGGGGATTCGTTCTTGACCTTCCGACTCGTCTCTCCAACGGTCGCTCCGCACCACCATTTCGACTAGCATCACACACTTGGTCAAGTGCGCCGTCGACCGTCGGCAAGGTAGACAGGCGTGACACCACCTGACCAATGCCGAGACTGCAGTTCTTGGGCTGGCAGTTCAAGTTCATCCTTCAGATTCCATGTGCCGGCGCCATTGACTTTCCCGTCAATTCCCACGACTTCCAAAGCTCTCGACTCAGTCATATGATACCAATCTCGTGACAATAAATATTCATTTAGTCCGCCGCTTCTTATTGTTTGCACTTACTATAGCATCATTCTGAGCGCATTTGTTTGCTGCCTGTTCACGGACAATATACTTCCCTTCTATTGGACCTTTCCTCAAGTGCCGTTTCGACGCATCCCCAAATCAGGTCCTGGTTTCGTCAGTCCGTCCTGTTTTTACGAGCTACATTATAATGTAGTCAGCGTTATGGATCAAGATTCACCACCAAGATCCAACAACGATAAAACACCAGCAGACAAGGCAACACATACGAATATCGATGAACCCAAATACGAAGCTCGGGTTCGCCCCGAAACTCCACAAGACTGTGCCATCGGAGATTCTGATGAGGATGACGAAGAACTGGTTGAAATTCAACGAACAATGACCCAGACTCGGATAATGAGGCAGAAGTCTCCTGAAGAACTGCGCAAAAAAGTCATTCCTTTCCACTGGGCTCCGATGCTTTCTCCTCTTTCACCTGCCGATATAGACGCATGCGAAACTCTCGAGAATGCTACAATGCCAGACCAACTCCGGCATTCCAACAGAGAACAGGTATTGACAGGCCCTGCTCCTGCTTTCCAGCGAACACTCTTATTCTTAGTCTCTATTTAACATGGCCCAGATCGAGTATCGTCTCAGGAAATGCGGAAGCCTCTGCATGGGCTTGTTCAACACCTATCGACCGCGCGATGCGAAAGACTGGTGGATTCAGACAATGCCTCATGCTCGCCCAGTCGAGACTGGCAGGCAAGACGGGTCCAAACGAGTCATGTTTGCTCATATCATTGCCACGTTGGGCAAGCATCCCGTCGTTACAGATGATGATGAACAGTGTCCTCCGAATTGGAGAGACTCAGCAGCTTCTCAAAGCTCAACTTTAGGTCACCAAACATCAGGTAGAACGATATGTATCCACTCCTTCTCAGTATGCCCTGAGGTTCAAGGTATCGGGATAGGCAAAGCCGCCATGAAGGCCTATATTCAGATGATGAACGAATCTGGGGTGGCCGATCGTATCGCTCTCGTTTGCAACGAGGTCAGCATAGTAGGCCCTTTTATCAGCTTCAGGTAGTAACTTACTCATGCTCCTAGTCCCTCACTGGCTTCTTTACTCGCGTCGGTTTCCAGAAAGCTGGAAAGAGTCAACTAAGCCCTGCTGGCCCCGGATTGTACAACATGGTAAGTTTTAGGAGATTTGTATTCTTTAATGTCGTAATTCTGAACATTCTGTTGTTCGCAGGTATTGGAGCTTCCAGGTCCCAAAGCTCTTTTTCGTTTGCTTCAAGACTTAAAGCCGCGCTAGCCCGTAGACACGACACACGTTCAAAGAGTGGAAATGCTCTTCTGTGTAGCAAATTCAAATACTTTATAACGTTCATTGATCGGCCTTGGTGTGGTGCTGAATTCATTCCTGCCATGCGATCCTCGATTATCTCAACTGCAGCCAGGGGACCGGATCTACGTGCCAAACAAAGCTAGGTGACGTTTTCAGAACTAACGACACGTAATTACCTAGGTATCCATACTCAACCTGAAGTGAATGAATCTAGATAACAAGCTCTTCTACAAAGATCCTACGGTAGGTTGGTGAAGTGCGGCCCATTATTTATTGTACCTAGACACCCGCATAAACGCCATCACATATCCAATCTCCCCGTCTTTTGTTTTTTTTTTTTAAAAAAAAAAAATTGATTTTTGGTTTTAGCTCCCGGACATCCACATATAGCAACGATTTCTTTATCTAATCGGTAGCCTTGTACTTCTGGCGGTACTCCTCGGTCCGCTTGATGTCGTCGTCAGAAGCGAAGCTTTTCATACCCGCGATAATATCATCCAACGTGAGGATAGCAAAGATCGGAATACCATACTCCTTTCTCAGCTCGCCAATAGCGCTAGGTCCAGGCTTGGAGTCGTCGCCATCTGCGGCAGGCAGCTTCTCCTTGCGGTCGAGGGCAACAACGATGCCCGCGACAATACCACCCTCCTTTCTGATCTTGTCAATGGCTTCTCTCTTTGCAGTACCAGCAGTGATAACATCATCCACAATGAGTATTTTCTTGCCCTTGAGAGAGGCGCCGACAATGTTGCCGCCCTCACCATGGTCCTTGGCTTCCTTTCTGTCGAAGGAGTAGGAGACCGTGTCCAAATTCTGGGGGGAAATCTCACCCAGCTTAATGGTGATGGCAGAGCAGAGAGGGATTCCCTTGTATGCGGGGCCAAAGATAATGTCAAAGTCTAGGCCGGCATTTTGCTGAGCGTCAATAATAGTCTTGGCAAAGGCGGACGAAATAGCACCGGCGAGACGAGCAGTGTGGAATTCTCCAGCATTAAAGAAGTAAGGGGATATTCTCTTGGACTTAAGCTCGAAGCTTCCGAACTTCAGGACGCCGCCTTCGATGGCTGCCTTGAGGAACTCTTGCTTGTAGGACGCAAGTTGGCCAGACATGTTGGTTTTGTGGTTGAGAAAGAAACAAGTGGTTAGTGGGTTCAGGAACAGACTACTTGAGTCGACTGACAGGGCAGCTCAATGCGGTATAACAGCCGTCTAAGAAAGAAAAAGGGATTTTTGCAAAATTAGAAATGTATTATGTTTGGGCATGTGTCAAGGATAAAGAGATTTAAAGGATTTACGCTTACGAGTCTGTCGAATGACCCCCAAACCCATGGAGAATTCCCGTCGAGTTTTTTGGTGGGGTGTGTCGCCGCGGGGCAGAGCGCTAATCAAGTCACCATGCACGCACCATTGGAACCTTCTCTGAGCTGGTGTCAGTGCAAGTACCCACCACTAAATTTTCGCAGGCGCGAGACATTTCCCCCTCCCGCTGGTGTAATCTTATCGATAGACCCTCTTTTGCCGGGACTCCACCCACTTGTGTGCGAAGAAAAAAAAATTGTTTGACCGCCTTGCATATGGGGTGGTTTGCATCTGCCATCCTGAGTACTCGGCCACCATCGAGTCCAGAGACGTTTCTACAACACTAGCAGTCGCTCTCGAGAGTCTCCGATTGCCCAAGATGAAGACGACGTGGAAGGATATTCCCCCGGTCCCGACCCAGCAGGAGTTTTTAGACATTGTGTTGAGTCGAACCCAACGAAAACTGCCAACTCAGATTCGTGCGGGTTTCAAGATTAGCAGAATTCGAGGTGAGGAAGGATTGGCTTTCCGCGCAACTATCCATCCATCAATTATAAGTTTGTCGCTAACAGTTCGAATCAGCCTTCTACACCCGAAAGGTCAAGTTCTCCCAGGAAACATTCTCCGAAAAGTTCGGCGCCATCCTCGAGAGTTTCCCGCGATTGCAGGATATCCATCCGTTCCACAAGGATTTGCTCAACACGCTCTACGATGCCGACCACTTCCGCATTGCGCTCGGTCAGCTCTCCACCGCAAAGCACTTGATCGAGACCATTTCCAGAGACTATGTCCGTCTGCTCAAGTATGGCCAGTCTCTCTTCCAGTGCAAGCAGCTCAAGAGGGCCGCGCTTGGTCGCATGGCCACCATCTGCAAGCGCCTCAAAGATCCGCTCCTGTATCTCGATCAGGTGCGGCAGCATCTTGGCCGTTTGCCTTCCATCGACCCTAATACTCGAACTCTGCTTATTTGCGGTTATCCCAATGTGGGCAAGTCCAGCTTCTTGAAGAGCATTACCCGTGCCGACGTTGACGTACAGCCTTATGCTTTCACGACCAAAAGTTTGTTTGTGGGACACTTTGATTACAAATATTTGAGGTTCCAGGCTATCGATACTCCTGGTATCTTGGACCATCCCCTAGAGGAGATGAACACCATTGAAATGCAGAGTATTACTGCCATTGCACATCTGCGATCCGCCATCCTGTACTTTATGGATCTATCCGAGCAGTGTGGCTACACTGTCCAGGCACAAATTCAGTTGTTCAAGAGTATCAAGCCTCTCTTCTCCAACAAGCTGGTCTTCCTCGTCGTGAACAAGATCGACGTCACTCGACCTGAGGATCTCAGCCCCGAGCTGCAGGAGGAGCTGCAAGGCCTGATGAAAGCTGGAGAGATTGAGATGCTCCAGCTTTCTTGCAACACCCAGGAAGGCGTGCAGGAAGTCAAGAACGCCGCCTGTGAGCGCCTCATTGCCGAGCGAGTCAACCAAAAGCTGAAGGCTGGAACAAACAACAGTGGAAACATTGGCGGTCGTCTGGCCGACGTCATGTCCCGTATTCACGTTGCCCAGCCCATGGGTGGCCAGTCTCTGGAGACGTTTATTCCCGAAGGAATCAAGAACTTGAAGAAGTATGAGAAGGAGGATCCGGAGCGCCGCAAGCTGGCCAGAGACGTCGAGGCTGAGAATGGTGGTGCCGGCGTCTTCAACGTCGACATGCGCGCAGACTACCTCCTTGAGAATCCTGAGTGGAAGTACGACAAGATTCCCGAGATCTTTGACGGCAAGAACGTCTACGACTTTATCGATCCTGACATTGAAGCCAAGCTTGCCGCTCTGGAAGAAGAAGAAGAGAAGCTCGAGCAGGAAGGCTACTACGATTCCGACGAGGAGATTGACGACGACGAAGAGGCCGAGGTCTTGCGAAAAGCCGAGCTCATCCGCGAGAAGCAGCAGCTCATCCGCAACGAAGCCCGCATGAAGAAGCGTCTCAAGAACCAGGCCATTATCCCCCGCAGCAAGACCAAGAAGTCCTTCTCCCAGCTCGAAGACGCCCTCGATCAGCTGGGCGTCGACACCAGAAACCTCGCCGACCGCGCACAACCCAAGGACGTCCGCCGCGGACGCTCCATGTCTCGCAGCCGCTTGGGCACCGAAGACGCCGACTCCATGGATGTCGATTCCAAGCCCCGCGACCGCCTGCGCTCTCGTGCTCGCTCCATGAGCAGAGCGCCCACCACCAACCGCCGCGAGGACGGTGTCCAGGACGAACTGACGAGGTCAAAGGCCGAGAGAATCGCCAAGCTCAACCAGAAGAGAATGAACAGGATGGCTCGACAGGGCGAAGCCGACAGACACACCACCGTTTCTCTAGAAAAGCATCTCGTAAGTCGTAACTCTCATTCTTTTCTTGTTTTCAATTTACAGAATCATCATCTGACTTTTTTTTTTTTTTAGTTCTCTGGCAAGCGTGGCATCGGCAAGACTGGTCGACGATAAACTTCAACCAAAAACGGGACATGAGTAGAAATGCTGTTTTTGTTCTCTATTTGAAGATACTTAATTTTCGGATTATTATCAATGTCTGCTCCGGAGTTGGGCGTATTTTGTTTTGTCGGATTGGATGGAACTGGCTCAGTTGAAGGGGTAGTAAAAACGAAGATGTGGGAAACGAGGCGCCTGTGGTGATGCTGTGTAGAGCGCACGCGGAAATCAGTCAAAAGTTGCTTTCCATTAAATAGTGTAGATGGCATAAACATGACGACATGACTAGGTTTCAAGAGCACACTCTAGCTCGGTTCCAAGTATGATGTGAAGCGCAGAATTTTTGTGGCAAGGTGTGCTCAACAGACGCGGGGCCAAGTCACACGAACATCAACTACAATGCGTCATGTGCCAGTAATCTTGGCTTCGCCATTCTTTTGCCCGAAATAACAAATCTCATCAATGTAGCCAACTTTTAAAAAGAAAAGAAGAAAGATTAAGAGAAACATGTTTCTTTGCCGCTATTTCAAGCACATTTGCATAAAAAGAACAGATGTTACCCAGACAACGCAATCCTCTACCATACGTAGCTCTAAAAACAACATCCTGCCCTGCCTAAACTACCATCTTCTGAATTTGTATATTTCAACCGGTAAATCTGTTTTGTTTCTACTCTTCGGCGGCAACACTGAGGCCCTCTCTCAGGCCCTCAACCTTAAGCTCCTCGCCGGCGCAGCGGCGATAAATGTCCTTGACGTCGTCGGTTGTCGTCTCAAAGTGGCTAGTTGCATCATAGCTCTTGGAGATGAAGAGGTTGTCTTTCTTGCCATCTTCAAGGGGTTCATAGATGGGGATCGGCGGGCCCTGGGAAATTACTTGTTAGCGGCAAAAAGACATCGCAGTAATGATCTCATTTCTTTGGCGAGATTGTGCAAAAAGCTCGCAGGGTTATGAACCAGGGGGCAGGAGACAACGGCTCAATAGTAAAATTAGGGGGCACTTGCCATGAATTGCTCTTCAATCTTGCCCAAGCGCTCTAGACCAGGCTGCAGCTCGAGGTGGTGGTTGGCAGATGTCTCGGCAATGGTAGACACGATGGCGATCCAGTAGCCCTTGGGGCAGACATTGTGGGCCGATGACACGCAAGCAATGTAGATGTCTACAGAATATTTGTTAGTGGCATTTTCACCTTGTTGTGCGTTGCTTGGAAGAAAAGGTCTTACCATTCTTGCGACCAACTTGGGACTGGGGAATAATCAACTGAGCTGAGTCGCTGTCGTTGGTTCCGGCCAAGGGGTGCTTGAGAATGCAGATAGCTCGCAGGACATGGCCAACAATCTTGGTCTTGTTGGGGAAGTATGATGGGTCGCCGAGAATCAACTTGGCCTTGGTCTCAAACTTCATGTCCTCAGCACCAGTCTTCATGGTAGCCTTGATACCAGAAGCCTTGTCGCCATCGTAAAGCAGCTCGTCCACATTGGTGTTGAGCATGTAAGTGCCGCCGTAGATGGCCGAGAGGCGAGCGAAGCCCTGAGGCAGTTCGCCAAGACCGTAGAGAGGGTAAATGTAAGGAGACTTTCCGTATCTAGCAACGGAGTTGCCATACAGACGAATTCGCTCAATAGCCTCGGGCGCCTGTCCCTTGGCAGTGATGTAGTCATCGGTAAGGTACAAAGCCATGGCGTGTCCGATGAAGTCCTTGGTGGTAGTCTCGAGACCGAACTTATCATAGACCTCCTTCATAGTACAGGTATTGAAGTCCAATCCTACCCATATGTTAGCGTATGTATGCCACTGGGCATCAATACTGGATTCAAGGGCGAATACACACCCTTGTGAGTAGCTGGGTCCTTGAGATTGAAGGTGCCAACCCACTCAATGAAGGACTTCATGCGTCGCTTCTCAAAGATGCCCATGAGAGGGGACTTGAGAGCTTCACCAGCATCAGAGGGTACCTTGGCAACAGTGGCTTTGTTGACAGCACCTTGCTGAACGTAGCTGCCGGCAACCTGCTTGAACTCGAGATATCGGGTAACATCAGTGGAGACGAGAATGTTGGTCAACTCTCCAGAAGACATGAGGAACTTGGGAACAAGGTCAATGTTCCAGTCGTTGAGTCGGCCGTATTTCGTCCACGGCTCCTCGCCAGCCTTGAAGTTTCCATACTTCTTGAAGAGCTATACGTGATGTACACTGTCAGAGACGAAAGGTTCAGGGGCGGCGGCAGCAAGTGAATTGGGGAGAGTGTGTACCGTCTCGAGGTTCACCGACGCGGCTTCACTGTGGACAAAGATTGCTTAGCAGTTTTACTCGTATGTCGTTTGCCAGTGGCCTTGATTAAGGGCACACGCACGCCCCATGACGGAAAGAATGTGGGCAAGAGGGAAAACATACCCGCCATAGTGGTCGTTGCGGTCAATATGTAGGACCTTCTTGCCCTTGACGCTCAGCACACTAACGAGAACAGCAACCTGGTCAGTTCACGCTCCTGTCCACCCCGAATAGTCCACAAACATGTCTGGCTTACCCAGAGAGAATGCATTCGGTCAAGCCTAGCAAGAAAATCAGTTGGACTGCTCAGCCAGACAAGGCACAAAGCTCCCTGCAGATCGACAGCAACTGCCGAAACGCAGGTGGAACTTTACTCTGTCAAGCTTCAAAACTCACCAGTGCCCAGCACAATGACATCGTACTCCTTTGCAATCTCATCCATGGCGACGGTCTGAGTATCCGCTGCGTAGTCTTCTGTTCGTTTTCGTCTCTGGTCTGGGAGCCGTGGTGATAATGAAAGTTGAAAAGAGCTGGCTCGGTTGGATCTGGGTGGAGGGGTTGCAAGCGGCGGGGTTGGGCGAGGAGAGAGAGCGAAACCAAGCGTCGGTGAGGTGTGGGGAATTTCAAGCCATTAATCGATTGCCATGCCATCCAGACAAGCGGTCTTCGTCTGTTCAATCTCGTCTGGGATCCATCCGTAATAAAGAGCGGTGATGGGTGATGAGGCGGAAAATTAACCGCGGCTTGACGTGTCATATTCCTGGGCCAACGAGCGCCGGCAAATTGGCCAAAGTCCAATGTGACGATGAAGACAGCTTCCTTAAGTACCTAGGTAGGAAGTAATAGTAGTAGCAGTATTTACATGTGTAGACATACCGCCATACCACAACTAGTTACCTAGTACCTGGGTAGTTCAGCCCACTGCCTAATAACAGACGCAAGCTCCCGAAGATATTAACCTTTAGCATATGACGTGCAATATGTTGTGCTCTGTGCTCCGTACTCCCGTGAACCGTCGCACCCAGTACGGAGTACGCGGCGCACTCAGGCCACCACCATCAAGACCACGGTATAAGACAACATGGTGTCTTCGATTCCCGGTATATCTTAGTTTTACAGGTGTCGTTCTAAATGTACACGCGACCAGGCAAGCCCCTGGCTACCTACCCGCCAAAATTACTACTTTGCCCGGAATCACAGTGTCTGGACATGGCTGCGACGTCTTGTTCCTTCACCGGCTGAGTTCCTTGTCGGCCTTGACGGGCTCCTGCTCTGCACCCTTCTCCTTCGCCCAGGCATCCTCGACAGCAACCTCTTCCTCATACGCTGAGGGCTTGTACACCTGGCCGTCCTCACCGTGCATGTCAATCTCGGGATCTGACATGGCCACATCGACGGCGTCCTGCCAAGTGTAATATCGTTCCGTGAGGGCATGCTTGATGGCTCGCATGGTTTTCATGACCTGCATAGAGAAGACAGTTATCAGTACACGACTCGAACAAATCATGGTGTCCAGGGATAGAATTCAACAGGAAAAAAGGTCAAGACTCCCAGACAGTAGCATACCTCTTCGTCTCGTGCCTCGATTTCCCGGTCACCAAAGCCAAACTTGCCCCTTGCCAGCTCCGCCTTGGAGGTCGCAAGCATGTTCCTCTCCTTGCAGCACACCCACCAGAGAGAATGTAAATCTTCCCACGACTTCTTTCGAAGCTCTTCCACTGTCCATGCTCTTCCGTGCTCCTCGGTTTCCTTGGGCGACCACAGCGCCTTTCCGGATTCCGGGAAGAAACCCCAGAGCCCGTGGTTCTCATCAACCGCTACTTTTGGTTTAAAGTCTCGTGGCTTCGGTAGAGGTATGTCAGACATGGAAAGATGTTCTCGAGGCCCTGATCCATACAGGCTGCTGACGCCTCGGTTCTTGTTGTTGTCCTTCGTCTTGCGCTTGCATTGCTGGGCCGTTGTCGAGAATGTAGCCGCCCGGGACGAGGCAAAATGCGAGCCAATTCGTGATAAGCAGCCGACAGATGGCCGCAAAGCACTGGAGCTGGCCATTTTGTGAAGGAAGTTAGATGGAGATGACAATGGCCGTCGACGATGGCCGTCGAATAATGCCCTGTTCAACCAAAGCTACAAAATTCGGCATGCGACTCGCCCAGACGCCACTTGATTGGATATACCAATCCAGGGTGCTTGCTGAGTCAGCCCAGTCTCGTGCGTCCTACCCTGGACACACTCAATGAATGTGTAGTGCAAATGAACTGGTTACAACCTTGATTCGATGGTTTAGTCGGTAGCATGTAGTTTGTAGGGTATCCTTTCTTAGATGCCACTTGATGGTTTTTGTGTTCGATCGTGTCAGTCTTTATTCTCTGTGCAGACATTTTGAAATAACCTTGCTTGTTGGATGAACTAAAGTGCTCTCCAGGTCGAGTACGCCGAATCAGCAGCAATGATATCCCTGCGCAATTCTCAAAGGGGACCTGGTTCCTATGGAGGAACAGATGAGAAAAGACAGACGACAAACACCATCCAAAAGTACCAGGGTCCAAGAGGAACAGTACATCACGACCATAGCATCAAACATCACACAGGGGGTATTCGTAAGTAGTTAACGCCGCTTAAGTCTCCCACCAATGAAAATTCCAAAACCTAGCTACCCTGTAGGGGCAACATGCCTTCCCCGAGCATCATCTTCCCAAACCACAGCGACGACAATTCCATGCCAGGCGCCGGAGCACCATTAGCACAGAATAAAAGTTTACCGAGCCTATGCAAGGAATTGTGCGTTGAGAACGGTTCCCTGGCAGGCGTCAAGCTACATGAGTTGAGTGGTAGCGTAGCCCTTGCGTGTCCATATCCAATTTCATCGCCATGCATTGAAGTGCATCGAACGTCGGGTGAGAAATATAACCACGCGTTAGTCTCCTGTCACGATATAGTATCAAGTACACCAATTCAGGCTCGACTCTAAACGTGTCTGCTCAACTCTTCCCCAACGCAGCTTCACGGTTGTCGTTGATGCGAGACCCTGCCGGCCAGCTTTGCAGAGTCGCCCAAAGACTCCGTAGAGACCATAGGAATCCGCATCTCCATCCTGAGCAACAAAGGCCTCCAACATGACAATTGTACTATATCGGCGTGCGGGTTGTGGTCCCGAATGCTCCCAAATCGGTTCCACTACGAGTTCAACAACCCACCGACTCCACAGGAGGAGTTGCAGAATCTACAGCCATCTGCATAGTCTTCTCGTCTTATAATCAACTAACTAACTAGGCTTCCTATTGACGGACGAAGCAAAGGACAGAGATGTTTGTCAACCATCTACGGGAGGGAACTGCAGTTGATGCAGTCTGAGCCTCATTCATATGCTTCCATCTCGAAGCCTTCACCCGAGGCTATACTTGGCGGCATGAGGAACTCCGCATACAAACAAACATACATGCCTTAATCGTCACTTAGTCGTCATCTCGTGTCGTTGCTATCCCCCCTCGCTCAAAAATCCGATCCAAGGTTTCGATTCAAGCAACTTTGCCATGAGCGAACCGTCTACCATGGCATCGTCAGCAAGGGCTGTTCTCGGTTAGAGAACCAAACCAACAAGAGAGCATAAAGCCAGGTCCTATTAATGCCACACCTGCTTCGACGCAAGGAGGCACACATTTGGGAGAAGCAAGAACAAAAGCATAACGGATCATGCATAAACCTGCATCCAACGCCGACTCTTGGCAGGAGGCAGTGCCTCTCCAACTCGCCAGCTCTGTCATCAAGTCGTGCTCGCCCATTACGACAAAACCCCCTTGCCTGGCAGGCCAGCACTGCTTCAGTGTACAGGCGACGGCGATTTGCTCACGGCCGGCACCTGGCAGTATGACGGATACGATGGAATTCTGTCACCCGTGACCTCGATGATCCAAGGACCGGAGTCCTGCCTGCCGGCCGGGCAACAGCTACACTACACACACTTTTTTCAAGTGGTGGCAAACTGTATCGCGCGGCTCTGTGAAACAGCACTTGTTCATATAGCCAAAATAAAAGGTATACGAATCCCGGGTGACCTTTTGTCGACGACGGTCTCGCTCGTTCGTCCGCTCCGTCGTGCTTGTGGATGGCATTCTCGAGCCTCTGCAAGTCCGGGCACCGGAGCGAGCGCGCAGACTGCACGACCTTGTGCCAAACTATTGGCTGGAAGGGCATTGCAAAACCAACTAGTGAGCCCGATGGTGGTGCACGTCCGGGATACTCGTCTGCGGTATGAACTGTTCTCGGGCTCGCAACCTGTACCAAGTTACGCTCACCTGAGCCAACCACCACCCTTGAGCCCGTATGTGCATTGGTGCGTTAGTGCATCTGGTGTGCTAGGTGAGTTGAGGAAAACTTTGTTGCTGGAGGGCGTCAAACCCAGAAGACAACCTGAGCTCGGTTTTGGACGCGTGTCAACCTCCCAGCCTGTGAAAGAAAAGGGTGTTATGATAACCCAATGCCAATGCCAATGCCAATGCCAGTCAGTGAATATGCCCCTGTACCAGGTACATAATCCGATCCTCGCACCGTCATTCTCGCACAACTTCCAAGGTCGGTAGGTGAGAAATTGGACTAGTACTCCCCGACTGGTATGGAATCAGCATGCAGGTCATTTTTCTTGTGGCGGTAAGCCTTCACCAAACTCTCGGTATCTTCGGCCAGGTTTCCCCCTTGGGAGGAGCTTGGTACAAAAGACACGACTCGCTACCACTGTCTATGATCCCGAGTTCGATGTGAAAATTGCGCCCAAGAAACGGACAGTCGTCATACATGATTGTCACTAGACAATACTAGGATTCGACTGGTAGAACGTCGTTTCGATGTGAGAGTAGGATCGTCGGTGTCACCGCCATTATTTTAGATTGTGGCGGTGCGGGACAAGTGTTTCTCCTAATGGGATAATGGAATTCCAGTAGCCAAACCGTCTGTCTCTCTGCGGTCCCGAGTCTGATCATCTACTGTGCCCATCGTCCAATACGTAGTATTCCGTATCCCCTCCCTTTTGCCTCGGAGAAGGGTGGGATTAGGTGCGGAACTTGCCAGGCGAGCTTGACGTAGATAGACACCAAATAGTCAAGTTGGATGCACCTGGATTCGGAGCCTGGTGACCCAGAACGTCTCCTTGCATATGGTTGTTGACATGTTCATTCATTTCGAGTGAAGAACCTTCTCTACAGAGACCCAGATTGCATCTTTGATAAAGCGAGTCGAAGGCAATCCTGCTCTGATGTGCCGAATATTATTTATTACACAGCACCTAGGATCTGACGATGTTTCAGTTACTCAGAGTCGTTGTCTCTCGTACTCCGTACCTCGTGGTACATATGTACACAATATTGAATACGCACCATGTACGTAGTCCATACCGCGCATACGCACATAGATTAGAAAAAAAGATTGATTGATTGTCTGTGACGAACTTGGCCAGTCAGCGCAACAAACATCGTCAACCACTCGTTACAAGCTGTGACAGGTGTTGCTCTTCCTTGTCCTTTCATGCAAAGCGCGCGCAAAATGTACCTCGTACATCTCACACCCTGCAAAAGTTCACGCTAGACGGACCAGCATCCCTTGTTAGCATCCCTTGTTAGCAACGCCCAGAGCCTAGGGTTATTTGGCGGACCTCCCTGACCAAGTGACGTCTTCTATGGGCTCCCATGTTGCAATGTACATGCACGCTTGCACGGAGATCTGGCTACTACGTAGTACGTACTATTGTCCACCGCCTGTTGCTGAAATGTAATTCCAGTGAGAGAGACGAATGCCTGCCACCGGTTGAGGTAGAAAGAAACCTTGATTTCGGCGCCATGGATTTGGAACCCATGATTGGGACGCCATCTCAGGCAAGGGCGTTGAAGAATCAAGGCGACATGAACGACAAGTGAGGTTGTCAGTCATCAACCATCGACGGGCTAACCGCACAGAGTCAGTTGTCTATGCGCCGGCATGGTCAACATGGCCTTGACGCCACCATCTCATCCATGGGCCGAATGGCTCAACCGGCTTGGCTACCCTGTTGGCTGTTGGCGTTGGGTCTCGCACAATGGTGCACACCCAGACCCCGGCTAGAGACTCGGTAAATGCAAAAGTAAAAGAATTGCACGCGGCAGCTCGACAATTTGCAAGGGCATTGCTGCAACATGAGGTCGTAAAATATGACAAACGATCGTGCCGGAGTTCGTCCGAGGTCGGCGGTTTGCGCCATGAATATCGACTCCGTTTTTGTCTGTTCCTGTCGTGTCCTATTCCCCCGGCTTCCTAGGTACTCCGTAAGTGGAAATAACTTGTCTGACTCGCGCTTTCACCACAGCACGTCGTTCGAGTACCAGGTACTCAGTACTCAGTATGGTGGATGCGCCACCAAACCCCTTGGCTGCAGGTGTTTCCCATGCACACGCCGTTCGCCCATAACTGTGGCAAAGCAGAATATTCCGTTGTATGTACATGCCATGCCATCCGTATGCTGTGTAACCGTTGCCCCCCTTCTGTATAAACAACCAGAATTGACTGAGAAGACTTGCGCTCGTTATGGACCGTCAACGTGTGCAGCGCTGGCAGGACGACCGCAACTCACAACGTCGGCAATAACGGCGAGTATCCGCTGGGCCGTCGCCTTGTAATTACAAAATAATCCCATGGTCTCGAGAGGCAAACACAGCCGGGGTGTGCAATCAGCCAGAATGTTGAAGGTAGGGAGGGAGGCCCGAGGAGCCCGATCAGCTTAGCCAACAAGAGAGTTCGTGGCTGGCTGGCTGTGTTGCTGCTGGCGGCTATGTATGTCTGTTTCCCAACGAAAGCTCACCTGTCCCATCGCTCCTCCCCGCCTGGCAACGGTATGAGGTTGCACAAGAGATGCGATGACCTCTTTTCTATCGAGACGGATCTTGAGGCTCTTTTATCAACGGATCTGTGGGACGCGGTTGGATGGGTCTCTCTCGGAGCGGCAGTAAATGGATCGCTCTCCACATGAGGCTCTTCTGAAGGCCCGCTTTCATAGCCAGGCACGCATTTGACTGCCGACGTGGTGTGGA